AAGAGAAAAAGAAAGGGAATGGGATAGAAGAAAAACACACGATCAACACCTCTCAATGAAAGCACCAATGATGAGGATCGTGTGTTTCGACATCTGATAAGCCGCTAACCCGCGCCTTGAATCGCCGATAGTGTTCTTCGAGCCACAACAGCGCCTCTTGGAATGAATAAAATTGCAATAGTATTCTGGTGAAAAGACTAAAGCAAAGTTGGAAGAACAAAGTTCTAGATTTCTATTGATGTCTTGAATGATTGAATGATAACATGGGGTAAGGGCCTTTATATAGGCACCAAATATATCTAAGCCTAATCTACCTAGGGAAATAATAAAGCAATAAAATATTAGGAATCCTAAACAAGCTATAAAATATAATGCTAGTTGGAAACTAGATCTCTTGGTGTGCACTCCAAGCAATTCTCTCTCTCTGTCCCATTCTCTTTGCGCACGCACGCCCTTAGGTCGGTTGCCGCCATCGCCCATGCCCTAGTCCTTGAGGACTAGGGCACCGTCCCTCTCGCGCGCGTGTCACCCATCCGGCGTGCCGTGCACGCTGCTGCTTCCCGCCGCCTCAGCGCGCGCGTGCCCCCCGCCTGGTTGTCCGCATTCCTCAAGGACTGAGGGCTTGTGCGCGTGTGCTGCCCCGCTGCGCGGTCCTTCTGCGCGCGCGCTCCCTAGTACCGCGGCCCGCGCGTCCTGTTCACCCATGCCCGCGTTCCCCGTGCCCCTGGCCTGTTCGTGATAGGCGTCCGTGTTCTTCGCGCGCGCCAATCGTGCGTTCCCGCTGGCCAACCCCTGCTTGCCCATCACTGGGGCGCGGCGCAGCGGACAGCGCGCGTGATGACGGATCGAATTTCTGTCTATACGATGGTTGTGAATAAACGCGCTCTGGGCCTTCGTTTATTCACGATAGACGTGTCTAACAGACGCACTGCGGCCTTCTCCTAGACACCGTGACTTCAAGACGCACTAATGGCCTTCTTTTCGACACTGTATGTAAACATGCACTAACGGCCTTGTTTAAACACACGTTAAGAACATCAGTTCCCCCTCAAGATTGGCTCACCAATTCAATACTTCATTCAACATGTAAAATATGATGAGGTACATGGGGTATTTATAGATACCAACTATCTCTAAGCCTAATAGATTTAGATCTCCTATTCTATGCAATAAAATAAATCCTAACTCTAGAAAGCAATAAAATCCTAAAGCTACCAAATATCTATTGCTTGGCTTGCACACCAAGCAAGTCTAGAAGCTCCCTAAAATCTCACATGTTCAAAACTCTTCGGCGCCTCGCTTGTCCGCGTCGCACGCGTCCTCCGCGCACGCGCGCGCTATCGCGCACGCCTTACGTGTGCCACCCTCCTCTTGCACGCGTGCGCCCAGTGCCTCGCCTAGTCCCGTGCGGACTAGGTCTCTGTTCGCGTCATCGCCACTCGTGCTCCCAGCGCGCCCCGCACGTCCATCGCCTGCTGCTCCGCGCGTACCGCCAACACCCTCACCATCGCCCGCTACGCCTATGCCCTCACGGATTAGGTGTCCGCCCAAATCGCTGGTACTCGCGCGCCCAGCGCTCTCCGCGTCCTCGCCGCCCAGGCCCCGCGCGTCCCGGCCACCGTCCGCGCTCCAATCGCCTATGGCGCACCCTGCCGCGTCCGCTGCGTTGCACGCCGTGATGCCACCGAACGCCAACGCGTCCCAGTCGACGTCCGCGGCCTGCTCGCACCCGCGTACGCCCGTCGTCGTGTTCGTTACCCTATCGCGTGCATCACGGCCCGATGCGCGCCCCACGCCCGATAGCCGATCCTCCTCGACCCCTTTGCCAACCGACTCCGTTGGCTCGCCCGGTGGCCATGGGTCCCATCCGTCCAACCCAATACAATCACCAGCTCGCCAAATCCAACCATCCTTCATTCTACTCTTACCTCCCTTTCGAACCACCATCTTGCGAACTCGCCTTTTCCTCGCACACGGCTTGCACCAACACTTCTCCTCTTTTGTCTTCGCCTTGTGTTTCCTTCGAGCTCGTTTGGTCTTGCTCCTCCTAGGCTTGAGCTTAGCTCGTGGACCACATCCTTTTGGCCAATCTCGTACACCTGATGGCCGATAAATCGGGCTTGATGGCTCTTCCAACACGTTCTCCAACCATAAAACGAGACCATCGTCTCCTTCATCGTCGGACTCACCGGGGTTGATGACCACTTCCGTATCATTCCCCTCCTCTTCGAGACTTTCCTTGTCCTCAAGGATTATAAAATTAAGCGCACCTTCCCCTTCGTTTGGTCCCTCCACCATCATTGCTTCTCGGGCTTCCATGAGTTGTCGTTCATATTCTTCAATATTCCTTCTCTCATGAAGCTCATCAAGATACGTCTTCTCCCATGGTGTGAGCTCTCTCTCCAACCCTTCCAACATCTCAAGATCTTCCCAATCCAACTCATCCATTGGTGGGTAAGACATAATTTTTTTATTTTTTTTTACTATAAAAAAAATCGAAAATAATAGGGGAAAAATTCGAAAAATTCGAACCCCCCACAAGACTCAAAAAAATCGAACAAAGAAAAATTCGGCCCCTCAACAAAAAGTAATAACCGAACAAAAAATCAATCAAAGGACTAACAAGATGACACTTTTTTTTGACTCAAATTCGAAAATATAAAGGGATAATTCGAACAATAAAATTCGAATCCCAACAAAAATAAAGAGAAATTCAGCCCCTCAGCAAAAGGCAAACCGAAAAAAATAAAAAGATAAGATAGACAAAAAATCGATCAGCACCTCTCAATGAAAGCACCAGTGATGACGGATCGAATTTTTGTCTATACGATGGTTGTGAATAAACGCGCTCTGGGCCTTCGTTTATCCACGATAAACGTGTCTAACAGACGCACTGCGGCCTTCTCCTAGACACCGTGACTTCAAGACGCACTAATGGCCTTCTTTCCGACACTGTATGTAAACATGCACTAACGGCCTTGTTTAAACACACGTTAAGAACATCAGTTCCCCCTCAAGATTGGCTCACCAATTCAATACTTCATTCAACATGTAAAATATGATGAGGTACATGGGGTATTTATAGATACCAACTATCTCTAAGCCTAATAGATTTATATCTCCTATTCTATGCAATAAAATAAATCCTAACTCTAGAAAGCAATAAAATCCTAAAGCTACCAAATATCTATTGCTTGGCTTGCACACCAAGCAAGTCTAGAAGCTCCCTAAAATCCCACATGTTCAAAACTCTTCGGCGCCTCACTTGTCCGCGTCGTACGCGTCCTCCGCGCACGCGCGCGCTATCGCGCACGCCTCACGTGTGCCACCCTCCTCTTGCACGCGTGCGCCCAGTGCCTCGCCTAGTCCCGTGCGGACTAGGTCCTTGTTCGCGTCATCGCCACTCGTGCTCCCAGCGCGCCCCGCACGTCCATCGCCTGCTGCTCCGCGCGTACCGCCAACACCCTCACCGTCGCCCGCTACGCCTATCCCTCACGGATTAGGTGTCCGCCCACATCGCTGGTACTCGCGCGCCCAGCGCTCTCCGCGTCCTCGCCGCCCAGGCCCCGCGCGTCCCGGCCACCGTCCGCGCTCCAATCGCCTATGGCGCACCCTACCGCGTCCGCTGCGTAGCACGCCGTGATGCCACCGAACGCCAACGCGTCCCATTCGACGTCCGCGGCCTGCTCGCACCCGCGTACGCCCGTCGTCATGTTCGTTACCCTATCGCGCGCATCACGGCCCGATGCGCGCCCCATGCCCGATAGCCGATCCTCCTCGACCCCTTTGCCATCCGACTCCGTTGGCTCACCCGGTGGCCATGGGTCCCATCCGTCCAACCCAATACAATCACCAGCTCGCCAAATCCAACCATCCTTCATTCTACTCTTACCTCCCTTTCGAACCACCATCTTGCGAACTCGCCTTTTCTTCGCACACGGCTTGCACCAACACTTCTCCTCTTTTGTCTTCGCCTTGTGTTTCCTTCGAGCTTGTTTGGTCTTGCTCCTCCTAGGCTTGAGCTTAGCTCGTGGACCACATCCTTTTGGCCAATCTCATACACCTGATGGCCGATAAATCGGGCTTGATGGCTCTTCCAACACGTTCTCCAACCATAAAACGAGACCATCGTCTCCTTCATCGTCGGACTCACCGGGGTTGATGACCACTTCCGTATTAGCGCGCAGACACGCACGCAGGGACCCCAGTAGGCCTGTGTGTGTGCCTGTGTCTGCGCCCCGCTTGTGCGTGTGCCCACCCGCGCGTGGTCCTGCACGTGACTGCCTGCCAGCGTGCTGCCAGTGCGCCCATGTGCGTGGGCTGCACCCATTGGGCACCCAACTCGCGTGCCTTCTGTTCCTTCGAGCCACCTAGTTTCTTACCCATCCCCACCAGGTTCTAATACTTTGATAGCCATCCCAAAACCTCCGATAGCACTTCCTTCCGAGGCGTGGTCTTGTCCGCGTGCGTCTACGCCAATGCGCGTATTCGCGCTTGCGCTGAATGCGACCCTTCTTGTGCTTTAATGTTGCCCATCTTGGGAATGCCTTTTCGCGTACCCTCGCGCATCGCCTTGTGCGACCTTCGTTGGCCTTCCTCCTTGACCAAGACTTTACTCTTGGCATCGATAGTCGGTTGGGACGTCGCCTTCTCTTCGACCTTTAGGACCTCGAACGTAACCTCTTCCCGGCCCGCTTCGACCGTGACTGACACCTCCTCTTCAACCTCAGTTACCTCAACCTCGACTACCTTGGCCACATCCGAAACCTCCTCTGTTCGTTCCTTGGCAATTCGATCCTCTCCATTCGGGTTCGACTCCTTCTCTATCTGGGACTTGCCTTGGGCTTTGCCGCATGGTCGCATATCCTTCTTGACTTGGGTGTGGCCCGTGAACTCTCGTTGGGAATTAGGCAAGCTTCCTTTATTCCATTTATGCGAGGGAGCCTCATCGTAATGGCAATAGATCGGGGTCTTGAACCGTGCAACGAGCTCCTTCTTAAAATCTTCCCATCGAGTTGGCTCGCGGTGGTTGTGGTAGAGCCATCGCCACCAAGCATCAGCTCCTCCGTCAAAATAATTTGAAGCATACTTTACCCAATCCTTCCTTGATAGATCTTCGAGGATGAAATGTTGGGTTCTGTTAGGAACGTCAAACAACATGCACAGTATTGAACTTTATCGAAA